TCTATCTATCTATCTATCTATCTATCTATCTATCTATCTATCTATCTATCTATCTATATCTATTTATATGTACATATAATTTTTTCCCCTCCAACTACCCTAATATTGACAAAGGTCTCATGAGTTACAAATATCATCTTTCCATGTAGGAATGTAAACAGTTCAACTATGATAAGTCTCTTATGAGTTTCTCTTTCCTGTTTACCTCTTCATATCCCACTTGAGTCCTGTATTTGAAAATCAAATTTTCTATTCAGCTCTGGTCTTTTCATCAAGAATGCTTGAAAGTCCTCTATTTCACTGAATGACCATTTTTAACCCTGAAGGATTATACTGAGTTTTGCTGGGTAGGTGATTCTTGGTTGTAATCCTATCTCCTTTGCCTTCCAGAATATTATATTCCATGCCCTGCGGTCCCTTAATGTAGAAGAAGCTAAATCTTGTGTTATCCTGATTGTGTTTCCACAATACTTGAATTGTTTTTTTTCTGGCTGCTTGTAATATTTTCTCCTTGACCTCAGAACTCTGGAATTTGGCTACAATATTCCTAGGAGTTTTCCTTTAGGGATCTCTTTCAGGCGGTGATCGGTGGATTCTTTCAATTTCTATTTTGCCCTCTGGTTCTAAAATATCAAGGCAGTTTTCCTGGATAATTTCTTGAAAGATGATGTCCAGGCTCTTTTTTTGATCATGGCTTTCAGATAGTCCAATAATTTTTATATTCTTTCTCCTGGATCTATTTTACAGGTCAGTTGTTTTTCCAATGAGCTATTTCACATTGTCTTCTAATTTTTCATTCTTTTGGATTTGTGTTACAGTGTCTTGATTTCTCATAAAGTCACTAGTTTCCAATTGCTCTATTCTAATTTTTTAAGGAAGTATTTTCTTCAGTAAGCTTTTGGACTTCCTTTTCCATTTGGCCAATTTTGCTTTTAAGGGCATTCTTCTCCTCATTGGCTTTTTGGACCTCTTTTACCATTTGGGTTAGGCTATTTTTTAAGGTGTTATTTTCTTCAGTATCTTTTTGGGTCTCCTTTAGCAAACTGTTGACTTGTTTTTCATGATTTTCTTGCAAAACTCTCAGTTTTTTCTCTACTTCTCTTACTTGCTTCTCAAAATCCTTTTTGAGCTCTTCCAAGGCCTGAGACTGATTCATATTCTTCTTGGAGGCTTTGGATGTAGGAGCTTTGGCTTCGTTGTCTTCTTCTGGTTGTATGTTTTGATCTTCTTTTCACCAAAGTAAGATAATATAGTCTGACTCTTTTTGCGCTGCTTACTCATGATCTTGGCCAATTACTTGAGTTTTAAACTCTTTGATAAGGTAAAAGTCTGTTTCCAATGTGGAGAATGTATTGTCCCAAGCTTTGGGGGTTTGTACAGCTATCTGCAGAGAAACTTTTAGGGACCTGAAAATTTCCAGTTCTTCCAGGGTGCTAAGATAAGGGGTGAGGTGTTTTCTCTCTACTGCCACAACAAACTTCACCACACCAGCATTCCTCCTTGCCCCAGGACCGCCCCTCAGAACCGTGACCCAGATCCAAGCATGGGCAAAACAAGAGATTCCTGCCTCAGCACAGGCAAAGAGATCCCTGCAATCTCCCTCTGATCAGTCACTCAATTTCCCCCTCAGTCTGTGGGCCAGAAGCTCAGGAAACAGTCGTGGCCCCGGGCCGCACTCGAGACTTGCTGCTGAGACCTAGCTCCTTCTCTCACCGCAGTCACAGACTTTTCCCACTGACCTTCTAAGTTGTCTTTGGCGTTTGTGTGTTGAGAAGTCTGGAAACTGCCACAGCTGCCCACGATTCAGTCCTCTGAGGCCTGTTCCAGGTTGCTGCGGCCTGCGCGCCCACGCTGCTCTGTGTTCCTCTCCCTGCCTGGCGTGATATACCTTTCTGATCAACCATCCAGGCTGTCTTTGGCTGGAAATTTGTTTTACTCTGTTTATTTTTTTGTGGGTTCTGCTGCTTTAGAATTTGTTTAGAGCATTTTTTATAGGTATTTGGAAGGGTTTGGGGGGAGAGCTCAAACAAGCCACTGCTTTCCCTCTGCCATCTTGACTCCACCCCTCTCATCTTTCAAGTGAATTTTAAAGCATGAAAATCAACAATTCGAAACAGAACAAAGGTCACACTGTGCTTTTGGTAAGGACTTCCTTACTTATGCAATGGGGAAATCAAAGACATTATGTTAGGAAATATTCTTCATTTTAGAGAAGGGACTATTAAGTATTATATTTGCCAAACTGAGCCTCATGAACACTGTACTACACACTTCATTTATCAAATATGTAAACTGATGAAATGACAGGTCAGGACCTCCAAATAATAACAACAACACTCCCATTTGTATAGTACCTTAAAGTTTACAAAATGCTTTTCTCTCCTTACCCCTATGAGGCAGATAATGCAAGTATCATTACCCCTGTTTTACATATAAAGAAACTGAGGCACAAAGAGGTTAATAACAATAATAAAAATTTATGGAATATCTACTAATAAAAGAAATCATAGGCATTGTGTTAGGTGATGAAAGTACAAAGATAAAAATGTAACAACTTTTCCCTTTAAAAGTGCTCCATAGTATAGGAAAAGGCACAATGCTCTGACTTCTACACACACAGAAGTTGGGAGTAACAAGTATCAGCAAATTTTTTTCCTAAGGAATTAGCCAAGACTTTTTAAAGTATCTTCTTTATAGAAAACCTGCTGTAACAAAATGACTCTGAAAAACTAATCATAGTCTTCAAACATTGATCTATTGTCCCCCCTCATTTAAGCAATAGAATGACTTAACTGAAATGATGAAGCCAGCTGCTGCTGAGAAGGAATGATGATGTATCACCATCAGTCCAAACAACTAATCATTTGGCTATAGTTAACCCATTGAAAATCAAAGGCATAATGAAATTTTCTATCACCATTGGCCTTGGTGGGGCAGGTAATCCTGAACCAAGAAAGAGTTG